AGCGCGCACCTGTAATTCCAGTTACTCGGAAGGCTGAGGCGGAAGGGTCGCCGGAGCAGCAGGTTGAGGCTGCGGTGGCCAGGAGCAGCCACTGCACTCCAGTCTGGGCGACAGTGAGACTTCAACTCAAAAAAAAAAAAAAAAAGGCCGGACTCGGTGGCTCAGTCTGTAATCCCAGCAGTTTGGGAGGCTGAGTTGAGTGGATTGCCTGAGTCCGCGGGTTCGAGACCCGCCTGGGCAACTTGGCGAGACCTCATCTCCACAATAAATCAAAAATTAGCCGGGTGTGGTAGCGCGCACCTGTATTTCCAGCTACTGGGAAGGCTGAGGCGGAAGGATCGCCGGAGCCCAGCAGGTCGAGGCTGCGGTGGCCGGGAGTGGCCGCTGCACTCCAGTCTGGGCGACAGAGTGAGACTCCCACTTTAAAAAAAAAAAAAGGATTCCACCTGGGAGGTTGGATGGGGATGTTCCTACTTTGTACATAGAGGGAGAAGGCTGGAGGGCAGGATCTTTTTGTCTGAAAGATGGTGGGCGTGGGGTGGTGGTCGCAGATTTTGTCCTGGAGGTCCCAGTGGACCTGACAAACATAAAGTGAGAACAGTAGGTCAGAACAGTAAACTGGAGGCAGTCTAAATACTGGAGACTCGTGTGTACTCCGAGGCTGAACCATTACAAGTTCCTGTCTCTGATGGTGTACTGTGGGGGTGGCCAGGTCCATTCAAAGGCCCCGGGTCTCCAGGTGTACCCGGCGTTTTGAACACATGATCTCACTTACGGAGGGGTTGCATGCTCCCTCAGCCCGTCTTATCCCGTCCTTGTCATCTTTCTCCTTCTTCCTAGTTCAAACCCCAGGTGTCTTACTGGTTTTAAGGAGTGGGAAAACAAAAACCAACTTCAAAATGCTTACCTCCAATTGTAATTTTGAATTACATTTTTTTATGCTGTTTCTCCCCTCCCCCCTTTTTAAAATCAGCCCTCGGGATTAAATTGTAACATGAATAACTCCAAACAACATCGATGAACATCACCCCACTGTTGTCACCCAGTGCCCTGACCTGATCCAGTTCTCTAAAATCAGACCCTGACCCAGCACTCCGCATTGCCTTTGTTTTATCTTCATTTGAGCTTCTTTTTCTGGATCTTTCTGTGCCGAGGGGTGTTTCTCTTTTTTGTTTCTATTTTTTTGAGTTGGAGTCTCACTCTGTCGCCCAGGTTGGAGTGCAGTGGCTGCTCCCGGCCACGGCAGCCTCGACCTGCTGGGCTCCGGCGATCCTTCTGCCTCAGCCTTCCACATGGCTGGAACTGCAGGCACGCACCACCACACACGGCTCATTTGTTTGATTTATTGTAGAGACGAGGCCTCACCAAGTTGCCCAGGCTGATCTCCAACCCATGGACTCAGGCAGTCCTCATCTTGGCCTCCCAAAGTGCTGGGATTATAGGCGTGAACAACTGCGTCCGACCAGGAAACATTTCTAAGGAGACTCTGTCCGCTTCCTCCTCCAACAGGAGACAGAGTTCTGTCTGCCCTGGGTGCCCAGGGGAGAAACAGGGCCCTCCAAGCTCTCAGCACTTGAGGCCAAGAGCCTCAGCACCCTGTGGGCAGGGCCCAGGGCTTCCAGTGGGCTCAGATCGACTTACATCGCCACTCCTCTGCCCTCTCATTCACAGTACACCTTAGCATGTTAGTTTCCGAAGTCGTGAAGGACAGACAGCTGTTGACCTTAGAAACTGGGCAGCCGGGTGGGCTGCTCTGCTCCAAGTGAACTGTCACGCAGCACTCCACTTGAGTCTCCTCCCCTTCCTCATGTTTGGCCCTACCGGAAGGCACCACCAGCTCTGAGAAGCTTTGATCCTAGAACCCACGAGGGTCGTTTTCGCTTAAGGCCAGTAATGGATGAGAAGTTCTCATAGTTGCTTAAGTGCAAACATTAGGAAGTGGGTTCAAAACATGCAGGATGAGGAAGATGTTTTGGAACCTGACAGGAGTAGCAGTCATGTAGCATTGTCGGTGAGCTAAATGCCACTGAACTGTTCATGTTAAAATGGTTCAGGTTAGGCTGGACTTGGTGGCTCACCTGTAATCCCAGCACTCTGGGAGGCCAAGGCGAGTGGAATGCCTGAGCCCCCAGGTTCGAGACCCGCCTGGACAACTTGACAAGCAAGACCTCATCTCTACAATAAGTCAAAAATTAGCCGGGTGTGGTAGCGCGTGCCTCTAATTCTGGCTCCTTGGAAGGCTGAGGCGGAAGGATCACTAGAGCCCAGCAGGTCAAGGCTGTAGTGGCCGGGAGCGTGCCACTACACTCCAGGCTGGGCAACAGATTGAGACTCCAACTCAAAAAAAAAGGCGGGGTTCAGGTTATGTTTCACCTAAAGAAATACAAAAGGAACCATGTTCTGTCTTATGCCCTTCTAAGAGTAGGCCAGGACACAGAAATCCTGAGAAATGTGCACTTCCTGTGGGTGACAGACGGGGCTGATCCTCTCTTCTAGCCAGAGGACCCAAGTCCACAGAGGCATTGCTTTTTCTTGATCACCCCTCTCCAGAACCTTTCATTCTGACTTTGGTGTAGTGTTGCTAAATTTGGCAAATTTTTAAATTTTTAAATTTTTTTGAATTGGAGTCTTATTTCATAGCCCAGGTTGGAGTGCAGTGGTATGCTCATGGCTGCCGCAGCCTCAACCTGCTGGATTCAGGGGATCCTTCGGCCTCAGCCTTCCAAGTAGCTGGAACTACAGACTCATGTCAGCACACCTGGCTAGTTTTTGTGATTTATTGTAGAGACATGCTCTCGCCAAGTTGCTCAAGCTGGTCTCAAACCCATGAGCTCAGGCAGTCTTCTCACCTTGGCCTCCCAGAGTGCTGGGATTACAGGTGTGAGCCACCATGCTTGGCATGTTTTGTTGTTTATTTTTTGAGTTGGAGTCTCACTCTGTCGCCCAGACTGGAGTGCAGTGGCACGCTCCCGGCCACTGCAGCCTCAACCTGCTGGGCTCCCGCGATCCTTCTGCCTCAGCCTTCCAAGTATCTGGAACTACAGGTGCGCACTACCACACCAAGCTAACTTTTTTGATTTAGTTGTAGAGATGAGGTCTCACCAAGTTGCCTGGATGGGTCTTGAACGTATGGCCTCAGGCAATCCACTCACCTCGACCTCCCAAAGTGCTGGGATTATAGGCTGAGTCACCGAGCCCGGCCCTAGCAATGATTTTCTAAGATACTTTTTACTGATCCTACATAAAACGTCTCACAGATTTTTCCTCCAATCTAAATGGGAACCAGGATTCCTATCCAGCCTTTGCCCTTAGTACGGTGTAGCATTACAGGTGAAGGGGAGTACTAAGTGCACTGAAGCAGCTAAGGCAGACTTGGTAAAGTCTTGTAGGGTTTTGTGGGCGCGACAGAGTCCAGTCTTCAGCACAGGTGGGACGAGAAGCCATTGAACGTGATTCAGGCAGCTGGAGGGAGGTGACCTGGATGTAGCACAGAGGGAACTGTGGGTGGGTGGGGCCAGAAAGCAGGCTGGAGCACACGGGGATGCTGCGGGGTGGGGTACTAGGATGGAGAGATGGAAACACTTAGGAGATGAGACGTAGAGAACTTGATGTCGGAACCAGCACTAGGACAAAAGAAACCCCGTGAATTTTTTGCGAGAGGCCACTTACGGTCTGTAGCTAACAGCTCACAGTGCTGGTTGCCACTGGCCTTCCCGATTCCAGCTCACACTCTTGCACAGAGAAGGACTTGCCTGTGGGTGAGGAAGGTGCAGCTGACTGGTAAGTGAACTTGAGCGCTGACCCAGAGTAAACTTGATATGTGGCAGGATTATTTTTAGCTTTAAAGACTTCTAGCCATTCCAACAAAACATCCTAGTAGACAGTTTTACTGTTACATAAACCAACACTTACCCATCTTTAATGTTTTACCGAGTACAGTTAAGTTTTACATTCTTGGAATGCCACAGCACTCAAGAGCTGGAAGGGGACCTTAGGAGTGCTTGGTCCGTCTCCAGAATTTTGCAGGTGAGGAGAAAGGCACAAGACTCGCCCGGTCACATGAACAGCAGAGTTTAGGTTAGTTCAGAGACCTCACTTTCTAGGCAGACCTTTCCATTTCGCTTCCGGTCTTGGTTTCCTCATCTGTAAAAGGGGCTAACACCTCCTTTGTAGGATGGTGGTGAGGATTACGGTGAACCTACATGTGGGTGTTCAGCGCTCGATCTACATCATAAGGGCTTAACAAGGGCTAGCAATTATTGTGGGCTGAAAGGTCAGGAGTCAACTTTTGAAACACCAAGAGGACCCAGACCCGCTACTGGTGAGCTGAGTCCAGCACAAGAGCAAGCAGGTACACGGGGAGACTCGAACACCCAGAAGAGAGCTAACTAAGGGCATGGATTCAGGCTCTAACCTGCAGCCAGGATCATCTGGAGGAAGCTTGGTGACTGCCTGGTGCTGCCTGGCTTTTCCTAGGGCCCCGGGATGCTGCAGAGGTCAAGGGTCAAAGCAGTCAGAAAAAAGCATCACCTCTTCCTGTTAAAGCTGAGAAGGAAGCTGGGCGTGACCACTGCTCACTTTTAATCACTCAAAAGGATGCCACAGGAGGTGGTTAGCAACACCACGGGTTTTACCTTGTTAAGAAACAAAGAACAGGCGGGGCTCGGTGGCTCAGCCTGTAATCCCAGCACTTTGGAAGGCCAAGGTGAGTGGATTGCCTGAGCCCGCGGGTTTGAGATCCGCCTGGGCAACTTGGCGAGACCTCATCTCTACAATAAATCAAAAAAAAATTAGCCGGGCGTGGTAGCACGCGCTTGTAGTTCCAGCTACTTGGAAGACTGAGGCGGCAGGATGGCTGGAGCCCAGCAGGTCGAGGCTGCGGTGGCTGGGAGCGGCCATTGCACTCCAGTCTGGACGACAGAGACTCCAACTCATAAAAAAAAAGAAACAAAGAATGAAGCCAGGCTTGGTGGCTCAGCCTGTAATCCCGCACCTTTGGGAGGCTGAGGTGAGTGGACTGCCTGAGCCCATGGGTTCAAGACCGACCTGGGCAGGCGAGACCTCATCTCTACAATAAATCAAAAAAATTAGCTGGGCGCGGTAGTGCGCACCTGTAGTTCCAGCTGCTTGGAAGGCTGAGGTGGAAGGATCGCCGGAGCCCAGCAGGTCGAGGTTGTGGTGGCCGGGAGCGGCCACTGCACTCCAGCCTGGGTGACAGAGTGAGACTCCAACTCAAAAAAAAACAAACAAACAAAAAAACAAACAAAGAATGCACAAGATACCTCTGCCAGTTAGGAGGTAGCAGTAGACCCATCTCAACTTTAAAACAAACATGCCTGGGTCCAGCACGGAAGCTCAAGCTTGTAATGCCAGCACTCTGGGAGGCCAAGGCAAGAGAACTACCTGAGTCCAGGAGCTACAGACCAGCCTGGGCAACTTGGTGAGGTGTCTCTACAATAAATCAAAAAATTAGCTGAACAAGGGGCTGTGGCGTGTGTCGTTCCAGCTACTTGGAAGGCTGAGGCGGAAAGGATCGCCTGAGCCCAGCAGGTCGAGGCTGTGGTGACCTTGAGCGTCCCACTGCGCTCCAGCCTGGGTGACAGCGACTCCAACTCAAAAACAAAACAAACAAACATGCACAGTCCCAATCTGATTTTTGTTCTTCCCTCTTCCTAAGTACTAGGGAAGAAAACTAGAGGTCCTAAGAACTGCTGCGCTGCCAGGAGGGAGTGCTGGGACCCTGTGGCCAGGCCGTGACACAAGTCCTGGCTGGCCCGTGCAGCACTCAGGAGGCCTTGGGCAGCAGGGCTGCTTCCTGCCCAACTGTGGCTTCCACACCAGGCACCGCATACTTCAGCTGAGTGTGGCTGTTGCTCCCACCCATAGCGCCCCCACCCATACCCACCCTCCAAGGTTGAACAGAAAGGGCTGCCTGACACCCGGGTTTTATGGTTTCCACTTTATTGCCCAAGCACAGAACTTGAGGCGAGCCTGGACCTTCAGCAACGAGCAGAGGAGAGGCTGGGAGATGGGGGGGTGAGGGCACAACCTGCTGGAGGAGGGAAACTGATGGGGGGGGACAGGGGTGGTCACCATGACAACAAAAGACATCACCAGTCACGCCATCGGGGTGAGAAGAGGACAGAAGCGGGCGCGGCAGCGGTCTCCCGTGCCCCTAGCCCCACACGGAGCCACGTGTTTGGAGACGGACGGGCGGGAAGGATGAGGGAGCGGCTGCCTGGGAGCCCCTCTCCACCCTGGCTTCACATAAGACCCATCCCGGCCACTTGCCCCTGCTGCCACTGCACAAAGTCGGACTGAGGGAGCGAGATAAATCAGCCTTTGATGAGCGCGTGTGAATGGACGTATGTTCGTGTGTGGGGGCAGAGAAGGGGTGACGCCGCCCGCCATGATGCTCCCCAAGCCCCCAGCCCACTCCTCTCCCCAAAGCCACCATCCAGCCAGATAGAAAAATAAAGGTCTAATTCACTCGAAAGTCTTCGGTTTTTACAAAACTAGCAGGGTGGAGTGGGGCAGGGCTGGCAGCCGCGGGAGGAGGGCTGGGGAGGCTACGCTTCTGTCTCCACCTGAGGCCGGCCCCCTGCGTCACGCGTCCGCTCCTGCATCTCGGTGTCAGCTGGATGGTCTCCCACGGCGGCCTTGGTCTGCAGGGGAGAGAGCCGGGGCTGAGCTCCCAAGGTCAAAGGGCACCCGCGTGGTTGCTACTGGAATCACCCCCCCACACCAGTTCTCCTAGCTCTGCCCTAAAGATATAACGTGTAGGCCGGGCTCAGCGGCTCAGCCTGTAATCCCAGCACTTTGGGAGGCCGAGGTGAGTGGATTGCCTAAGTCCGTGGGTTTGAGACCCGCCTGGGCAACTTGGCGAGACCTCGTCTCTACAACAAATCAAAAAAAAATTAGCCGGGCGTGGTGGCGCGTGCCTGTAGTTCCGCCTTCTTGGAAGGCTGAGGCGGAAGGATCGCCAGAGCCCAGCAGGTTGAGGCTGCAGTGGCCAGGAGCGGCCAGTCTGGGCGACAGAGTGACTCCAACTCAAAAAAAAAAAGATACACGTGTACACGCTTAAATACACATCACAAGGTCATTCGCTGCCATGCTGTTTAGAACTAGGCTTGTCTGGTATGGGAGCCATAATATACGTGGCTAGTTCAACTTGACAAAGTTTAAGTGAAAATACACATTGCACTTTGAAGACTGTCAAAAATACACAAGTGCAATTTAAATATCCCATGTTTCTTTTCACCTTTTTTTTTTTTTTGAGTTGGAGTCTCTGTCGCCCAGACTGGAGTGCAGCGGCCACTCCCGGCCACCACAGCCTCGTCTGCTGGGCTCCGTGATCCTTCTGCCTCAGCCTTCCGAGTAGCTGGAACTACAGGCACACGCTACCACGCCCGGCTGATTTTTTGATTTATTGTAGAGATGAGGTCTCGCCAAGTTGCCCAGGCGGGTCTCGAACCCGCGGGCTCAGGCAATTCACTCACCTCAGCCTCCCAAAGGCATGGGATTACAGGCTGAGCCACCAAGCCCGGCTCTTTTCACCTTTTTTAACATGGCTGCTAGAAGGTTTAAAATTACATAGTTTGCAGTTTGAGAGGTGGACAGAGGGCAGAGGATTGCCTGAGCCCAGGGATTTGAGACTAGCCTGGGCAACATGGCAAGACCTCGTCTCTACAATAAATCAAAAATTAGCCAGGCATGGTGGCACACGCCTGTAGTTGGAAGGCTGAGGTAGAAGGATCACTTGAGCCCAGCAGGTGGAGGCTGCAGTGGCCAGGAGCGTGCCACTGCACTCCAGGGCAACAGAGTGAGACTCCAACTCCAAAAAAAAAAAAGGTGATATAAAATATCCTCCTTCCAGGTTGGGCTTGGTGGCTCAGCCTGTAATCCCACACCTTGGGAGATTGAGGTGAGAGGATTGCCTGAGCCTGCGGGTTTGAGACCCGCCTGGGCAACTTGGCAAGACCTCATCTCTACAATAAATCAAAAATGAGCCGAGCGTGGTAGCACGCGCCTGTAGTTCTGGCTACTCGGAGGGTGAGGCGGAAGGATCGCCGGAGCCCAGCAGGTCGAGGCTGCGGTGGCCGGGAGCGGCCACTGCACTCCAGTCTGGGCAACGGAGTGAGACTCCAACTTGAAGAAAAAAAAAAAATCTTTCAGCTATTATGTGAAAAAAGCACAAAACTGGGCTGAGTGGCTCAGCCTATATTAAGACTGGGCTTAGTGGGTCAGCCTATAATCCAGCACTTTGGGAGCCCACGGGGTTCGAGACCAGCCCGGCAAGTTGGCAAGACCTCGTTTCTACAATAAATCAAAAAATTAGCCAAGTGTGGTAGCACTCCAGTCTGAGCGACAGAGTGAGACTCCAACTCAAGAAAAAAGCACAGTATGAGATGATACAGCAGTTATCTCTTGTTGGAGGAAAGGGAGAAAGCAACATGAACGCATCTGTTTGTGAAAATGTGCAATTTCTGGAGCCATACAAGAACCAGAGAATCAGCTGCTTCTGGTGCAAGGAGGCACACTTTTTGCTACATGTCCTTTTGTGCAATTGGAATTTATTTATTTTTGAGTCCAAGTCTCACTCTGTCACCCAGGCTGGAGTGCAGTGGCACACTCATGGCCCCCACACCCTTGACCTGCTGGGTTCGGGTGATCCTTCCGTCTCTACCTTCCAAGTAGCTGGAACCACAGGCGCGTGCCACCATGCCTGGCTAACTTTTTTCATTTACTGTAGAGACGAAGTCTCACCAAGTTGCCCAGACTGGTCTCAAACCCCTAGGTTTAGGCAATCCTCTGGCCTCCCCAAGTGCTGGAATTACACGTGTGAGCCACTGTGCCCGGGAAAAACTTGAATTTCTATGTAACTGTATTACCTACTTAAAAAACATACACACAGAGTCTGCGGCCCTTTCCCAAAGCTGCAGGCACAGAACAGAACGTAAGCCTGGAAGAACACTCAGAGCAGCCTCTAGGGCTTGTGGGTGGGTTTGGGTTTCCAGCCCTAATCACAGAATACTGGCCCCTACAGCAGGGAACACGCATGCTCCACATCGCTTTGGGGGAGAGGGCAACTTCTGGTTTCTGTGACTGGCACAGGCACTCACACTCACAGGCAGAGCGCCCACTCCAGCAGGCTGAGCAGACGGATGCCGTTCCAACCGCTGGCCACCCTGGCCCTCACCTTGCTCTCTTCCTCAGCCAGCCTCTCGAACATGTTGGCATAGAGCTTCTTCTCCCGGGCAAGCTGCTTGCGGATCCGCTGCTGGCACACAGCCAGCTGGGCCTTGGCGGCTTTGTTGCTGGGGTAGAGCTGCAGGACCTTCTGGAAGTCAGCTCGTGCCAGGTCGAAGTCATTCACGGCCAGGTGGGCCTCTCCCCGGCGGAAGAGACCCTTCTCGTTGGTGCTGTCCAGCTCCAGGGCCTAAGGACGCAGAGTCAGCGGCAGGGTGAGAGCTCGGGGGCCAAGGCCGGCTGCCAAGAACCCCTCGGCAGGCGGGGCGGAGATGGCTGGCTCTACCCAAGGACAAGGCCTGGGGCACTAAACCGAAAGGTGCAAGATCTTGGAAGGAGCCTCATGTAATCCAAGCTGGGCACAGTGGCTCAGCCAGCAATCCCAGCACTTTGAGAGGCCGAGGTGAGTGGATTGCCTGAGCCGGGGGGTTCAAGAACAGCCTGAGCAACTTGGCGAGAACTCATCTCTACAACAAACCAAAAAAATGAGCCATGCATGGTAGCATGCTCCTGTAGTTCGAGATCCTTGGAAGGTTGAGGCAGAAGGATCACCGGAGCCCAGCAGGTCAAGGCTGCGGTGGCCATGAGCATGTCACTGCATTTCAACCTGGGTGACAGTGAGACTGCAACTCAAAAAAAAAATTCAAGAGGCAGAGAGAAGACGGCAGGTCTCTGAATGAAAGAAAAGGACCCCTGACGTGTCTCCTCTCTTTAGAACAAGGCAGGACGGTAAGGAGGAGGTGCTGACCACCAGGGCAGAGAAAATCCTTCCACAGTCCTGCCCATCCGGTGCTTCCTCCTGTTCTGTGCCTGCTGCCTCCCCCCACAAGAGCAAGGTGCTTGCTACTCGCACTCCTGCCTCTGGGCCTGTCGTCTCAGGGTCGGCCCACCCACCCCGCCATCCCTGCCCTGGACAGGGCCTCACCTTGTTACAGCTTTCAATGGCGGCGGTGAAGGCCTGTAGCTTCAGGTGACACATGGCCAGGTTGAGGTGGGAGGCCAGTCGGAGGGCCTGTGCCTTCTGGGCTTCCTCGCTGGAAAAGCTTGACTCGTATTCCAGCCAGGACACAATCTTCTTATACTGGAGCACAGCTTGCTTGTACTTGCCTTCCTAGATGGCAGAGAGGCTCAGGCACCCTGCACGGGCTCAGTGACACCAGGCCTTCACACCCCGTGAGACGTCAGTGACCCCCCCCTGCCCCCCGCCCCGACCGACCGGCAAGCTTAGATACACTACTAGGTGGAGACTGCATGTGCCAACCTGTCCACTTCTTGGCAGAAAACGATCTCAGCTGTCAGAGGGAAGGGAGGGCTCAGTGCAGCCCCCAGCGGCGTCATTAGACCGTGATTGCTGACTCACCTTGAAGTACACAGTGCCCCGCTCCTTCACTATGGCGCTCTGTTCCAGCTTCTCCTCTGCATTCATCTCCCAAGACTCTTTGGCCTGCCAAATCCCAGGGAGAAACAAAGTTGTCAGCGATTCCAGAGTCACCCATGGGGGGACAATCCGACTTCAGGGTGGCAAGACCTTGAGCACACTCACCTTCTCAAAACTCTTGAGTTGTAACTCGTATTTCAGCTCAGCATCTGGTGGGATCTGGAACTTTTCCTTACCAGCACTGCCAAAAGCATAGCTGTGGGGGGGGAAAACTGGGTCACCTTGGCAGCCCTTTACCTGCTCCCGGCTGGAAAGTACCTCCCCATCCCTTGAGAACTGGTTCAAATGATTCTTCCCGTTTGGCAGAATCTTCCTTGGCCTCTTCACACAATCAATGGTCCCTCAGCATCTTCCATCTTCTGTTTTTATTTTTTTTTTAATTTTTATTTTTTTGAATTGGAGTCTCACTCTGTCACCCAGAGTGGAGTGCAGTGGCTGCTCCCGGCCACCGCAGCCTCGACCTGCTGGGCTCCGGCGATCCTTCCGCCTCAGCCTTCCGAGTAGCCGGAATTACAGGCATGCACTACCACGCCCGGCTGATTTTTTGATTTATTGTAGAGATGAGGTCTCGCCGCCCAGGCGGGCCTCGAACCCGCAGGCTCAGGCAATCCACTCACCTCAGCCTCCCAAAGGCGCGGGATTACAGGCTGAGCCACCGAGCCCGGCTTTATTTTTATTTTTGAGGTGGAGTCTCACTCTGTCACCCAGACTGGAGTGCAGTGGCCGCTCCCGGCCACCACAGTCTTGACCTGCCGGGCTCAGGTGATCCTTCCGCCTCAGCCTTCCAAGTAGCTGAAACTATAGGCACACGCTACCGCGCCCAGCTAATTTTTGATTTATTGTAGAGATGAGGTCTCGCCAAGTTGCCC